CTAGAAGAGCCTGGAGGAGGAAAGTGGGGGGGGGTAGGGGGAGGTAAGACGAGTAGAAAAAGCCTACGGGAGAGGAAAAGAAAAAGGAGGGGGGGGGGACGCCTTAGGGAGAGGGAGAGGAAGGGAGAGAGGAGCTGCGGGAAAAGGGGAGAAGGAGAGTTTCGTGTAGCCTAATTTATCATTTAAACATTGAATTATTTATCGTTCATCCACAGGAATTGCAAGAAAATGTGCAGGAGGTTAAAAAAGTGCTATAACACGCTGCAACTGTAAATAGACAAGAGAAATGGTGGGTGGTCAATTTATCAGGTGGTCACTATATAATTTGCAGGTGGTAATGAGGTGGCAGATGCTATGAGGTGTGGCAGATGGTAGGGAGGTGGCAGATGGTATGAGGTGTGGGATGGGGTGTGGAGATGGTATATGAGGTGGGAGATGGTAGGTGTGTGGCAGATGGTATAGGAGGTGGCAGATGGTATATGAGGTGTGGCAGATGGTATATGAGGGTGGGGGGGTGGCAGATTATAGTGAGGTGGCAGATGGTATATGAGGTGGCAGATGGTATGGAGGTGTGGGAGATGGTATGAGGTGGCAGATGGTATAGGAGGTGGCAGATGGTATATGAGGTGGCAGGTGGTATATGAGGTGTGGCAGATGCTATGAGGTGTGGCAGATGGTATAGGAGGTGTGGCAGATGGTATATGAGGTGTGGCAGATGGTATAGGAGGGGTGGCAGATTATATATGAGGTGTGGCAGATGGTATATGAGGTGTGGCAGATGGTATATGAGGTCTGGCAGATGGTATAGGAGGTGTAGCAGATGGTGTATGAGGTGTGGCAGATGGTATATGAGGTCTGGCAGGTGGTATGAGGTCACTACATGGACACAACAGGTGATGATAGACTGCATAACAAACTGTATGGTTCTATACACCTGTAACTTACTCATAATAAACTCGTAAATAATTCCCTGTATTATTAAGACGTGATGAACTGTACCCTTATATACCTGTATCCAGACGAGCAATACAGCACCACTACAGCACCACTAGAGGACCCCTACACCACCACTACAGGACCCCTACAGCACCACCACTACAGGACCCCAGTATAGTGAGTAACAAGGGCCTCACTGCTGACACTCACCGGCCACAACATCAATTACGATACTTTGGAAAATGTCACACAATGTAACACCAACAAAAACAACTTCAACAAAAACAACAACAACAAAACCTGCCAACCCCACAGAGCAACAACAGATGACAGCCATTACTGTTGAAAACCGTACCGAGTATCACTATATGATGTACCACCAACAGTAACAACAGATAATAACAGTGGAAGAATTTTTTTTTTTTGCAGTGGCCAACAGTTTATGGTCTTTACACATCAACAGTAAAACGGCTGGAGAGAAATATTACACAATAAGCCAACAGGTGATGAAAGGGAAGTAATACTAATAAACAAAGACCCCGCCAGATGGTAACAGTATAATCCTACAACAGCAGCTGGTAGCCATGACAGTTCAACAGTACCTGGGATCTGGTAGCCGTTCATGGTGACTGTGTGTGTGTGTGTGTGGTACCTCCTGAGAGCTGGGGGGGACCAACTTGGGGTACAACACAGAGACAACCTCCGGCCAAGTTCTCCTTTGTCAGGAGATGTGTGAGTAGGTAGATAGGTAGGTGGGTAGGTCAGTTGTCCCCGTTGTCGCCTTCTTCAGCACAAGGTGTGTCAGGGGGGTCGTGACCAGCTCAGTGGTGGTGGTGGTGGTGGTGGTGAGAAGTTCAGTCACTTGTAGAAATGTTTCCTCGCTTCATATATCCAATGTCCCCAAAAAGTCAAACTGCGAAAAGACCCACAAAGAACGGAATATCACTTTGACTATTACGGAATCATGTGAATGTTCTTCAACGCCACAAATCTACAAAACAGAAAACTCTTCACTTAAGTATAGTTCTTAATCCACTCCTTAAAACAAAAGTGTGTCATCACTCGTCAATGTTCACCCCTTTAAGAGTTCCATATGTACTGTATGTGTTTGGTCAGTCAATCAAGTAATGTCGGCCGTGACGATCGCTTATAACTGTCAAGGGAGCGTCAACACGAATGTCACTTTAAAGCTGTCACATGAGCCGCAGCTGAAATCAGGGGAAAAATGTTTTTAAGTGGCGAGTGAAATGGCAACCAGCACAGGTCCGTCAGAACATGCGGAATAATAATGAGAGGGTCGCCCGCGCCTCAGTTTCCACTACACACTAGCGCTACAAAAATAACCTAGTCGTCTCCTGTGTACATAACGTTTTTATGCTTAAAGAGGCAAAGCGGCGAGAGGGAGAGCGGCAGAGCGCGGCGGGGACAGCGGCAGCGGTAGCGGGAGCCAGCGAGCCGGAGCTGAGGGTAGCAGGCTGCTAGGCGGGCTGCAGAAGAACACTGACTGGTGCCCTCTGTAAGTTTGGGCCTCAGGCAGCCCACCTGTGCCTCTGCGCAGGCCAACTTCTGTCAACTAGTCTATTTTTGTTGCATTGTGCCATAGTTTCCCAAGACCTGAGGGATCTATGTGGATTAGGCGTAATACGGGTCCTTTGGGGGCCGGTGGTGGCCATGCTGGCAGCGAGAGGCACCTCCGCACCTCCACACTCCTCCACCACCCTACTAATCAATAACTCCACTTGGGGAAATCACTTGGCAATCTTCTTGACGCTTTTTTTACAAACTATTACAATCACCTATCAAGATAAAGGTCGGTCAACAGCTGATGACTGCACGGGGTAGGTGCCCCGGGGCGTCGCTGGGCGCTACATGCCACACCGGTGAGTTGGGATGCCAGCAATGCTCGACCCGCCACATATTTAGCTTTGTTGTGGACTCCAGCAAGTGGCTCCCTGCCTCTGACACAATCACTACTCCACTCGTCACCTTTTAACAGGGAAACAACGATATGGTGCCTCACACAACACTCTCAAGCTACACTGACAGGAGCCAACACGGCTAGGATGCCCGCCTGTACAAGCACGAGGCAATAAAAGTACACTCAAGCTGTCTCAAGGAGCAGCGATGAGCACTCAAGATAGCAACAGCTGCTCGGGACGTCTCCAGTGGGAGCAACATGTCCGGCGCGACACCAAGAAAGGAAAGGTAATCTATTTCAGCTCCACCAGGGCCAAGGGGCGACACCCTTACCTCCCGGATTAAAACATTCACGGAGGCCCACCAAGCTTACAACGACTACTACAACCACCACGAAGCTTACAACGACTACTACAACTACTACTACCACCACCAAGCTTACAACGACTACTACAACTACTATTACTACAACCAAGCTCACAATGACTACTACAACTACTACTACCACCACCAAGCTCACAACAATTACTACTACCAAGTGGCACAGTGACAAGTACCAGCTCTCTGGTACCTGACACCTGTCGTCATCAACTGTCTACTACTGGTCCAATTACCTTACTTGTCACACACCACCTGTCTCTTACCACCACCTGTCTCTCACACCACCTGTCTCTCACACCACCTGTCTCACACCTTACCTGTCTCACACCTCTCCTGTCTAGGAAGTGAATTATCTCTATTTTGATCGGAAAGACTTAAAACTCTCTGCACAAGTTATAATCCCCATATATTAAACCAACACAGCGAACAATCTACAGCTAAACCAGTCTCAATTAACTATTCAAGCATCTTAAACCAAGAATAAATGCCTATCAAAACTGTCAAACCAAGAAAGAGGAGCAGTAATCATTCAAGCATGTAATAATAATAAACCAATCAATCTATCCTGTTAAACTGACAAGCAAATAACCCTACCACTTTAAAGCACCAGCAAGCAATCAATTTATCCCGTTAAACCAGCAAGCAAACAACTCTAGCACCTTAAAAGAACAAAAAAAAACCATTAAAGCAACTTAAACAACTCTCACACGATAAACCAACAGTATACATTTATTTATTTATTTTTTTTCATTTTTTTTGGTTCACGTGTTCACCGTCCATCAGACAACAGCAGCAGCAGCGCTCGGTATCAACAAGCGAAGGTTTGTTTAAAAAAAATGTGAAAATAAAAAAAATAATAACTAGCCGAATTGGGGAAACAGGCGGAAACAAGGAATAGGGGAAAACACTCGATAATAAAGAGTCGGGAGAGGACACACACACACACACACACACACACACACACACACACACACACACACACACACACACGCACACATACACACACACTTTTCTGATAGTATGAGAAGCTGTAAGTATGTAGAAAGAGAAGTATATTAGTATACTGGAAGGTATATTAGAGTATGATGTAAGTACGGTAGGCATATACTATACACTTGTAACATACACTAGACACACCCTACTCGTATGCCGAAGAATATACTGTACTAGAGGTATACTTTCCCCAACACTGTTTATCATCGTGAGGAATATGCCAGGAAATATACTGGGTGAATATATTCTGACAGGAAATATAGCATGGCATGACAGGGTATATTTGCAATATTGCCGGAGAAATATGCTGGGGGTAACATGCTTCAGCAGCAGCGTACGACGGCGGCTGTTGCAATAATGGCGTACAGCTCAGGGAAAAGGTGCATTTTTACCTGTGTTTTGACTTAATTAGTATCATCGGTGGTACAAAGGCTGGCCAACAAGCTAGTGTGTGTGTGTGTGTGTGTGTGTGTGTGTGTGTGTTTCATGCAAAGAAAGAATTGGAAATATTATTCTTAATTACAACCATTCACCTCAATATAGACACATACACAAAACCCATTGAAAAACTAAAGAATCATAACACCGAACTCCTTACAGTCTGAACAAAAGAAAAAAAAAAAAAAAACTTTCCAAACCCAAAATCCAATTAGCGAACCTTTTTCAGTCGTCCAGTCCCTATAGGTCACCACTAAGACTCAGTCACTGACCACACATGGAGAAAACCTTATCCCAATTAGCCACTCTCTTTCACAGCCTCTCTTTATTCTTTCTCTCTCTTCATCTATCTGTTAAGGGCTCCATCCTCGTTTTCACCCCGTCAATAGTCTGTTTGTCAGAGCACAAGACAGCTTTCATTACTGACAAACTAATTAGTGTGTTTGTGTGTGTGAGGAGGAATCATCACATATTAGTCCTGATCGAGCCTCAGGGAATGAGGAGGTCTGGAGAGGTGAGGGAAGGTGGGGGAGGACTTGTGGAGAGATTTGGGGAGGTGAGGAAGGTCTGGGGAGGTGAAGGAGGTCTGGGGAGGTGAAGGAGGTCTGGGGAGGTGAAGGAGGTCTGGGGAGGTGAAGGAGGTCTGGGGAGTGAATGAGGTGAGGTGAGGGAAGTCAAACGGGGTCTGGGGAGGTGAAGAAGGACTGGGGGGTGAGAGAAGTCTGGGGAGGTGAGGGTCTGAGGGAGGTTCTGGGGAGGGGAGATCTAGAGGAGGGCGGAGGAAGCATATAAAACAACATCTTGATTTATTTTTAAAACTTGTAAAGAATGAGGAAATCACGGCTGCCTCTTTTCTGCCCTTGCCCATCTTCTCTTCTTTCTCTTTCTGTTTTCCATATATATCTTCACAAACATCCTGAGAGAGAGAGAGAGAGAGAGAGAGAGAGAGAGAGAGAGAGAGAGAGAGAGAGAGAGAGAGAGAGAGAGAACACACCCAACGTCATCATGTCGCCGCTACACACCCATGAATGACCTGGGTCCGCCCAGTTATAAACAAAACAGTTTTAAATCGCTGGAGATGATGGCAAGTTATAGGCTGTAGAGGAGAGGGAATAAACCAACTGGAATTTTATGATCTGTCCCTTAAAAGAGACGACAGGGAGGGGGGGGGGGGAGGGGAGGGAGGAGGGAGGGAGGAGGGAGGAGGAGGAGGAGGGAGGGATGGGGGGAAAGGATGGGTGGAAGGAGGGAGAGGGTAGAGGAGGAACGAGGGAGGGAAGGAGAGAGAGAGGGGAGGATAAGGAAGAATGGAGGCAAAGAGAGAGAGAGGGGAAGGGAGAGAGAGGGGGAAGCTAGAGAGAGGGAGGGAGAGAGAGGGAGGGGTGGGAGGAAGGGGTGGGAGGAGGAAGGGGTGGGAGGAAGAAGGGAGGGAGGGAGTAGTACTCAAGGAGGCTAATCTCTGGAGGGGACGGAAAAATGGACAGTTTCCCGTCCATTAAGTTATCCGCCGTCTAAAAGGACAGGAAATACACTATCCGGGACCTTTCTTTCAATCGCTGTGATCTGTTTTAAGAGCGGCGAGGGATTAAGAAGCCAGGGATTATTCCCCATCAATCGAATAAATCCCCCGTGAGGGAAGGAGGGGGAACGCCGGGCAAAAAGATTAAGTCATTTTCAAATAGACAGCGCCAACACGAGCGATCAACAGCGCCTGGGGTAAGGTCAAAGATGCTAGGCCAAACGAACGGTCGCCTGCCTTCTGGTCAGCTGTAGTGTTGTCCCTTTGGTGGTGAGATGGCTAAGTGGTGGTGGTGGCAATAGTGGTGGTGGTAGTGATGGTGGTGGTAGTGATGGTGGTGGTAATGGTGTGAGGGGGGTGGTGGTGGCAGTGGTGGTGGTGGTGGTGGTATGGTGGTGTGGTGGTAGGGAGGGTACAGGAGGAGGTGGCGGTGGTGGTGGTGGTAGTGAGGTGGAGGTGGTGGTGGTGGTGGTGGTGGTGGTGGTGGCAGGAGGTGGCGGTGGTGGTGGTGGGTGGGAGGTGGAGGGGTGGTGGTGGTGGTGGTGGTGGTGGTGGTGGTGGTGGTGGTGGTGGTGGTGGTGGTGGCGGTGGTGGTGTGGTGGTGAGGGAGGTGGTGGCGGTGGTGGCAGTAGTGGTAGATGGTGGCGGTGGTAGGAGTGAGGTGG